GATGAACATAGTGGGATAACCCCTATCAAATATTTAGGATTATTTTGACGTTTTAAACCTTCCGAAGATAAAGAGGAAAAGCCTGTGCTTATTAGCATCACTCATCATCATGCGTTCAATTGCAAAAACAATGCGTTCGGAGATTTCAAATATTTCGTTTTCCTAAAAGCGATCTCTACTTCAAAGCACGTCATAAATCAACAGTTTCCACTTCTGCAACAAACGTGCCCACTTCAATTTGAAAACATTTTGGTAGCACGAAAGGCTATATTGATGACTTTATCCACCAGGGAATCCACACAATAGGCAAATCTGAACTTATGGAGTAGTAGTAAAGTTAGTGTCTGTGCCTCAACACCGTGTGTGGACACGCGAAAGACGTACTAATTGAACACTAGGAACAATCATAAATTAAGTATGTGGTAACCGCAATTCAGAACAATTTCATTGAAATTTGTTATGAGAGTGACAAAGTATCATCATCATCATCATCATTACAGCCCTTCACAAGTCCACTGCTGAACATAGGCCTCCCCCAAAGAATGCCACAAAGCACGGTCCTGAGCCACCTGCATCCATCGACTTCCTGCATGTCTTACCAGGTCGTCACTCCATCTCGTGGGGGGACGCCCTACACTTCGCCTACCGGTACGAGGCTGCCACTCGAGAACCTTTCTTCCCCATCGGTTGTCGGTTCTTCGAGCTATATGGCCGGCCCACTGCCACTTCAGCTTACTAATCCGTTGGGCTATGTCGGTTATTCTGGTTCTACTGCGGATATCCTCATTCCTAAGTTTATCACGCAGAGAAACTCCGAGCATAGCCCTCTCCATAGCTCGCTGAGCGACCTTGAGCTTCCTCATACGGCCAGCAGTGAAGGACCACGTCTCAGTTCCGTAAGTCATCACTGGCAACACGCACTGGTTGTACAATTTCGTTTTAAGGTTTTGAGGTATGTCTGACGAGAAGATGTGTCGTGGCTTCCCGAACGCTGCCCAGCCGAGTTGAATCCGTCGATTGACCTCTCGGTCGAAGTTGGACTTACCTAGTCGGACTATTTGTCCCAGGTAAACATACTCGTCAACAACTTCGAGCTTAGTGCTCCCAACAACTACCGACATAGGTGTGACATGGACATTAAACATGATCTTTGTTTTGTCCATGTTCATCTTAAGACCTATCCGTTGCGAAACACTATTGAGGTCATTGAGCATAGTGCTTAGGCCCTCCAGCGATTCTGCCATAAGGACTATATCGTCGGCAAATCGAAGGTGAGTGATGTACTCGCCATTGATGTTGATACCGTATCCTTTCCAGTCCAGAAGCTTGAAAACGTCTTCCAATGCAGCGGTGAAGAATTTCGGGGATATGACGTCACCCTGTCTTACACAACTCTGCAATTGGATAGGTTTCGTACTCTGATTCTGTACTCGGATAGCCATCGTAGCCCTACTGTACAAGCACTTCAACACTTCGATATACCGACAGTCAACTTGGCACCGCTGAAGGGACTGCAGCACCGCCCAAATTTCGACGGAATCAAAGGCTTTCTCATAGTCCACATACGCCAGACATAGTGGCAAATTGTACTCTTCAGACTTCTGTACAACTTGCCGAAGGGTATGTATGTGGTCTATGGTGCTAAAGCCCTTTCGGAAACCTATGGTAAGGTAAAGTATAGGAAATGTGAAAATCGAAATTATTAAATACCTAAGCAATATACATAAATAAATAATAAACTTTCTTTAAAATTATAATAATAGCGAAATCATAGTAAATTCAAACAACAAAAAAAATCCTTGCTTTTAAATACACATCGTTAATTTATCAGAATAAAAAAATCAGCAATATTGTCTGTAAATACTGCGGACTGTACGTTTAAATATGCTACTTGTATGCCGGTGCGAAGCTGCGTGATGATTTAAAAAACGTGACGAGGTAAGGTACAGAGGTTTGTAAAACTGGTTACTATCAAAGGTTTATAACGCTAAGAGAAATTTATCAGATATTATGTAAAAATATTATTATTATTCTTAATGATCCTTCCTCACACCTGTATCTAAAAGAAAGATTTCAATTCCTTAGTGACACTCATTCTCTCAATCTCCGTTCTTCACAAAGTTTATTCCTGCCCACTCCTCTCCACCATTCTGGGCTTACGTCAAATTCTTTCACAGTTACTTCCATTACCCTCTGGAACAAATTGCCTGTTGACCTGCGAACAATACCTGCCAAAAATGTTTTTAAAAGAAAACTATATGAGCATATCCGTAGCCTACAAAGTTGAGTCAACTTACTTTATATGTTTATAGTTACATATATATACATTTATTGTTATATATATGTATAAATGTGCGTATTAATTTATATATTTATATGAATTATATATATATATATATATATATATATATATATATATATATATATATATATATATATATATAGCATTAAGCTCGCCTTTTGTACAAATATTTGTGCAATAAAGAATAAATAAATAAATAAACAAATATTATTTGGAATCTTAAAAGTTATATCTAATGCTTAAAGTTAACCTTTTATTGTTACCTTTTATTGTATGTATATACTCATATATATAAGACATTTCCACCTACGTACTGACTCATCACGATATCTCTGGAACCATAAGGCCTAGAGACTTTAAATTTGGTAGGAATATTCCTTTTTCCGAGTAGAGGTCATATTTTTCAAAAATCTACCCGTAAGGGCTGAGTCTTGCTTGCTTGTCAAACTTATCCTAAAAAAATCTAGCCCTTGATAGTAAAATGTGTTTCCAATGTGTATACAAAATTTACAAAGTTGACAACAAAGAGAGGAGGATTGTCGTTTTAACTCCGCATTTAAAATTAATCATTGTGTGTGATAAGACTAAACATTTATTACGATTATTATTATCGATAGGACGGGGCAATAAGTAATGTTACTTCTTATTTTAACGTGTGCAAAATGTGTTGAACATTGATAGAGTTACACCTGTATTCAACTTAAAATTTATAGATGGCCTTACTCTATTAGATACCGTTTGTTTTTAAGAGGGCACTTCATACGCGATACTGTAAGAAATATTTTTGAAAACGGCAAGCATTGATAATGAGATTTTTCTACTTCAATTTTTATGTTTGAAAGTTATAAGTGTCTCAATATTTTCAACCTTAGTCAATTAACAGAAATATAAATACTTTTAAAATAAAACTACCCAAAATCTAAGTTCATGAAATAATAAGTTTCAAGTACAGTGTTTATTTTTATTGCTTGGTATCTTTTCTAGTAATTAAAGCGATGAAAAACTTTTACTAACTTTACATATACTTTCTATTGCCTCTGCCTAGTTTCCTTTAAAGAATAGAAACAGAAACAGAAACAGAAACTTTTTTATTCAATATAGATTATAAATAATACTTATTGAAAGTCACTCTTTTGTATAATTACCACTGGTTCGAAAAAAAAAACCTCTGTCCTGGGAAGAACCAGCAAGAATCCCAGCGGGACTTTTTTTTTAAATAACAGCTTACAATCTAGTACAAAATTAACAGTTTACAAAATTGACAGCAAAGAGTGGAGGACTGTCGTTTTAAATTCTTATTCAAAATTAAATAATGTGTCAAAATAATGTATCAAGTAGACGGAAAATATAAGTTTATAACAATTATTAAAAAAAAATTGGAGTTGTAAGAGTAACTACAAGCTCAAATCGTCCCGTAGGTGACATAAGAGCTCAAAACAATAAAGAACTATGGTTTCCAACGTGCTTGCCAAGTGTTTATCAAGAAGTAGTCTTTCACAAACCTAATAACCCTTTGGATTCACAATTTTTGGATGGTTATATTATGTGAACGCAATAGGAACTTTACCCCACTTCTGGTGTGGAAATATCTGGAATACATCAGAAGGTTAAGTGTTAAAAATAATAATAGTGTGAGAGCGGATGTTCAACTTGCTCTTCTACTTACGCAATTAATCATTATCAGCAATAAAACAGCGTACTGCACTATACATTCAGTATAGAGCAATTACAGTTTGACCGTACCGTAATTTGTGCCCGTCACAAATACACAGTAGTGTAACGTGAGGGACGTAATTACATGATAATCAGTGGTAGAGCCACGCGGCAGCTTTTGCTGTCGCACGGATGGGCCGGCTCGAACCGGGGTACCACGGCCTCACAGAAAACCAGCGTGAAGTAGAGGTTTACCTCTGAGTTTCGCTTGGTGAGTGCAGGTGGCCGGAGGCCCTTTTTACTGGAAATGAGGCATTCCATCTTAGCCCTTACGGGTGACAACGCATCTACATTTTGATTTGTAACAGAGGATAGATGTAGATGTCTATGGGCCGCAGCAACCACTTACCATCAGGTGGACTGTGTGCTCGTTTGTCACCCTTAACCTATAAAAAAAAAGATAAAACCAAAGGATACAACAGCAAGCAACACTACACATCTCACTATAACACAAAGCAGCCTCTCAGCAACACCATCATTCTTTCCTGCACTGGAAGAATTACTACAACGTACTGAACCGCGATACTGTCATTCTACGAGTCTTAGGCACTCGTTGAATGACTTAGGTGGAATTACCCGCGCACGGCGCCTACAGTGAACTTTGCACTGCACAAACGAGTGAGGGTTTCTCGATATACCCTCATTTCTACCACGCCACCATCGATATGACACTCCGCTAGAGTGATGTAAGCTCTCGTTCACTCTTGATGTATCCGTTATTTTATGGATGCGCCGATAAACCCATTGCCTGTGAGTATTTACCTTAAATTACTCTACGAAACGTTTCCTTATATTTTTTTTATATATTTATTTAACAGTGGTAGAGCCAAGCGGTAGCTTTTGCTGTCGCACGGATGGGCCAGCTCGAACCGGGGTGGTACCACGACCTCACAGAATACCAGCGTGAAGTAGAGGTTTACCTCTGCGTTGCGTTTGGTGAGTGCAGGTGGCCGGAGGCCCAATTCCCCCCCCCCCCCCCATCAACATGGTAGTGGAATTAAATACAAGACAACCCCAGGAGGGTACCAGCACCCCTGGAGAATCCCTCGCTGAGCATCCACGAACAAACTACTTCACTCCTGAGCGTGGGTGCTCAGGCTGCCCCGCGTATTCTGGGGGGGGCAAAATTCCGCTCGTGACTAATGCTGCTCGGGGCAAGCGGAGCAATACAACCAAGGCGACCCCTGTCACGCTATCCGTGAATTTTTGCAACATCAGGGGACTTCATTCCAACCTTAACGCTGTCCATTACCATCTAGAGACGGCGAAGCCGGCCTTGCTCTTTTTAACCGAGACTCAGGTGTCCTCTCCGGCTGATACTTCATATCTCTCCTACCCGGGGTACAAATTGGAACACTCCTTTGTGCCCCGGGCTGGAGTTTGTGTATACGTCAGAGAGGACATCTGTTTTCGACGCCTCGGCAGCCTTGAAGGTACGGACCTGTCCATCCTATGGCTGCGCGTAGACAGCGACGACCATCCCCGCGTCTACGGGTGCCTCTATAGGTCCCATAGCGGTAATACCGACACAGACCGACTCATCGACCACGTCCAAATGGCTGCAGACTCCGTGCTACAACAGGTCCCATCCGCAGAGATCGTGATACTCGGTGATTTCAACGCCCACCACGCTGAATGGCTTGGTTCTCGTTCAACCGATCATGCGGGTAGATCTGTCTACGACTTTGCTTTGGCATATGGTCTAACACAACTGGTTACTTCGCCTACGCGGATCCCAGATGTGGAAGACCATGTACCTTCCCTGTTGGACCTTCTGCTGACCTCTCATCCGGACGGATATCAGGTCTCCGTCGATGCCCCTCTGGGCTCTTCGGACCATTGTCTGATCCGGAGCACAGTGCCACTCACGCTCCAATCGCAGTTGCGATCTACAGCTTGCCGCCGTGTTTGGCACTATAGGTCAGCTGATTGGGACGGGATGCGGTCTTTTTTTGCATCCTACCCTTGGGGGCGGGTTTGCTTCTCGCCGGAAGATCCCAGCGTTGTTGCCGATTCTGTTGCTGATGTGGTACTTCAGGGTATGGAACTTTTTATTCCATCCTCTGTGGTGCCCATCGGAGGCAGATCCCAGCCATGGTTTGGTCGCTCCTGTAAAATAGCATCACGCTATAAGCAGGAGTGCTACCGGGCCTGGGCTGACGCATCAACGTCTCGGGATTTAAACACCAGCGCACTTAAAAAGAAGTATAATTCCGCCTCCAGGTCCTTCAAAAGCGTCATTGCCAAGGCAAGGTCTGAGCACATCGGCAGAATTGGCGAGAAGCTAGTTCGCCTTCCTTCGGGAACCCGTGCATTCTGGTCTCTCGCCAAGGCTGTCCAAGGGAACTTCTGTCAGCCATCCCTCCCATCTCTGCACAGAGAGGACGACTCACTGGCCCATGCCGCAAAAGAGAAAGCCGATCTGTTGTGCTCTCTTTTTGCGTCCAACTCGACTCTAGATGACGGGGGGAACACACCGCCGACCATCCCGCGATGTGAGTGCTCCATGCCGGATGTGCGATTTACACAGCGCTCGGTTCGCAAAGCACTCTTCTCCCTGGACGTCAGCAAGTCGAGTGGGCCCGATGGAGTCCCTCCCATTGTGCTGAAGACGTGTGCTCCGGAGTTGGCACCGGTTTTAACGCGTCTTTTCCGGTACTCCTACTCCCAAGGCGTAGTCCCGAATTCATGGAAGACAGCTTTGGTCCACCCGATCCCTAAAAAAGGCGACCGCTCAGACCCGTCCAACTACAGGCCTATCGCCATCACCTCCTTGTTCTCCAAAATAATGGAATCCATTATAAACTGCCAGCTCATGAGGTACCTTGAGGATCACCAGCTGATCAGTGACCGTCAGTACGGTTTTCGTCGGGGTCGATCAGCAGGTGATCTTTTAGTTTACTTAACTCATAGATGGGCGGAGGCAGTAGAGTCCAAGGGGGAGGCATTGGCCGTTAGTTTGGACATAGCGAAGGCCTTCGATCGGGTCTGGCACAAGGCGCTTCTTTCGAAGCTTCCTTCCTATGGGCTTCCCGAGAAATTGTGCAAATGGATCACCAGTTTCCTTGCTGATCGGAGCATCAAGGTCGTAGTAGACGGTGCATGCTCTGATTACAAGCCTATCAACGCTGGTGTTCCACAAGGCTGCGTGCTATCACCAACGCTGTTTCTCCTGCATATCAATGATATGTTGCTAACTGGTAGCATTCATTGCTATGCAGACGACAGCACTGGGGATGCCTTATATACCGGCCGTGCCAATATTTCTCGGGAAAACGTCGCCGAGTACCGGGACAAACTTGTGTCTGAAGTCGAGTCTTTGCTTAACAAAGTCTCGGATTGGGGCCGACTAAATCTAGTCCAGTTCAATCCCCAGAAGACACAAGTTTGCGCGTTTACCGCTAAAAAGAACCCCTTTGTCGTATCTCCTCAGTTTCAAGGCACTCCCCTTGCTGCCTCAGCCAGTATCGGAATCCTTGGCGTCGACATATCGAATAGCGTGCAGTTTCGTGGTCACTTGGAAGGGAAGGCCAAATTGGCCTCTAAAAAGCTTGGCGTGCTCAGCAGAGCGAGACAGTATTTCATGCCGGCACATCGCTTGCAACTTTACAAAGCGCAAGTTCGGCCCCACATGGAATACTGTTCTCATCTCTGGGCCGGGGCACCCCAGTGCCAGCTCCTTCCACTTGACCGCATCCAGCGCAGAGCGATTCGAATCGTCAACGACCGAGTTCTTTCCGATCGGCTCGATACACTGGCACTGCGTAGAGATGTTGCATCTCTTTGCGTATTTTATCGCATCTATCACGGGGAGTGCTCTGAGGAATTGTTCGGACTAATTCCAGCCGCTCAATTTCACCATCGCACGTCGCGACAAAACTCGCGTTACCATCCATACCATCTGGATGATTGGCGGTCCACCACTGTGCGATTTAGAAGAAGTTTTCTCCCTCGCACAACTTCTTTGTGGAATCAATTACCACCAGCGAATTTTCCGAACCGATACGACTTAGGAACCTTCAAGAAAAGAGCTTACACCTTTCTAAAAGGCCGGCAACGCATCTGCAATTCCCCTGGTGTTGCGGTTGTTCATGGGCGGCGGTAGTCACTTAACATCAGGTGAGCCGCATGCTCGTTTGCCCCCTATTCTATATAAAAAAAAAAAAAAATATTAAGGGTGACTATCGAGCACACAGTCCACAGGATGGTAAGTGAATTCTGTGACATACAAACATCTACAACTCTCCCCGATTAGGATTCAAAATGCAGAATGAATTATTACCCCTGAGGATTAAGATGCAATGCCCCTTTTCCACTGAACAGTTTATCTGTTTCTCTACACTCATCCTACGAAACACAGCAGCATAACTCTTCTATTTTACGCTGTTATTCTGAAAGAGCGTGGTCCTTTCCCGGTAGAGCTGACCTATTTAAGCTACAACCATAATATAGCTGCAGCATGGTTCTATCAAGTATGATACTTTGTAAATATGATGTACTCTGTGACGATATGATTCGCTATTTACAGCAGTACTTATACCACGCTTGACACTGGCATGCGGATAAGGGATCCAAGTCATTAGTAATCTGTGATAGCGGAACGAGATATTTCGTAGATTAAACGTTGGTTCCCGTCGCCGGTCTAAATATTTTACGTTTGACGTAAAGGAATTAGTATTACTGTTGTCTTATTGCTATTTTTTGCTATGGGAGGTGGCTCTATCGTGCTGCAGTATTTTTTAGAATTATGAAAAACCTGGCATTATCAATACCTACCTCAATACCTTTTACGATATCCATATGATAAAAATGATGATAAATTTTCTAATGCTGCCATTATTAGCAATAATGTCGTAACGTTTTATGTCAATGGTTCCCAAAGTGTGCACCGTAGAGTACAGAGTTATCTGTTTAACATTCTTCGGAAACGAAACTTAGGTACTCGCTGGTACAAAATAAGAAATCATACAAATCATGCGCACTGAAATCGTCACTCACTTGCCGATAGGTATTTACGTTCGAAACGGATCTGAAATGAATATTCAACTTTGAGTACAAAACTTTGACTTCTCATTCTCTTTGCAATATCTTACTTATGTTAAGGATTTTCAGCTGCAGCTGCAATAAAAAATAAATATCGCTTAAAGATCTGTGGAGCAAGAAATGACAGTAGTGGTGTCGAGCCTCATAGCACGCATTTAAAAAATGTGTGGAGATAACCAAACTCACACGTCACATTGACTAAGTTGCCATTTTATTTCCTATTTTTCTTAAATAAACAGGATTTTTCGTAAGATGGCAGGGCAGCCTTTCATGACACGTATACTCATTTGACACGTATACACCAATACACAGTTGAATCCCGATGCGTTATTTAATTTAAGAACTGAGATGAAATGCCTCGTTACTAAAGGTTTCAGTTCTCACTTACCGTACGTAATAACAAACACCAATAATGATTTTAAACTTATATTCTTATTTAGCGTGAACATCCCATGTCAAGCCGACGCATTCATGCTACTGCCATAATACAATGAGGGCATGACTGTAACAAACGTTACATAAAATTCATAAACATTTTGTGCTAATTCTAATCTAGAAATTTGAATAAAGAATTTTATAAAGTTAAAACAATTTTCAAAAGACTTCAAAAATGGAGGAGGTTCTTAATTCGTCGGAATTTTTTTTTATGTATGTTCACCGGTTACGCCTGAATCGATTTGCTAATTTTTTTTTTGGTTTCAAATGGTATAATACTTCCCAGGTGGTCCCATTTAAATTTTATCGAAATCGCTTGCGGGGTTTTTAAAAAATCAAGAATAAATTATATTCATATTGAAGTCGTTTGTACAAAATTTAAAATTACCACTTGTAAAATTATTATTAATAATAAGTAAAATATAGTTATTTTAACATTTAATAGCTATAAATAATGTCGCTCTCATCATACCTGACCTAATTCTCTCTTGTGGATATCTCTATTTGTCTAAATTACTTTTCTCATTATATAACTAGTTTTTAATACAATATTCAGCTCCGTGGCGCAGTGGTTTAGCCATGAGTTGAAGCGCTAAGGGTCGCGGGTTAGAATCCCGTAAAGATCAAGTATATGTACAGCCTACAAATAATTGTTCCAGGTCTGCATGTTTGTCCTTGTGAAATTTATATATGTATACTGCCCAACGATACAGGAGAAAATCCTAATGTGGAAGAAATTAAAAACCAAGGAAACAAATATTAATGTTGTTATTAATTAATTAATTCATTACAGCAATTCAAATGAACCTTTGTACAATAAAGGCCCTACCCCTTTGATTGCATCATACAGGCGATATTTGTTATATTGTTTTTTTACTATTAGTAGTTATTATCAGAAAGATGTTGCATTTTCACTTTCATTTCCCTCTGTCGATGATATGGCGTAGGTAGTGGATTCTCTGATACTTCCACTACATGACCAATTTTTATACGTGGCAGAGCCATGCTGCAGCTATATTAGTAGTATAGTTGTAGCACGAATGGGTCGGCTCGACCGGGGAAGCACCACGCTCTCACAGAATACCAGCGTAATATAGCTTAACACTGCTGTGTTTTGTATGGTGATGGTAGAGAACCGGAGACCCTTTTTACTGGAAAAAAGGCATTCCATCTTAGTCCAAAGTTGCTTGCAGTTGTCCATGGGCTACAGTAGCTACTTACCTTCATTATACTTGCTGTACCTAAACACACGTTGCTGTTGCTCAAAAGTTTCCAATATTTATATAAAAACACACGTGTCTTTCAATAAAAAATTGTGTCAAAATTTTAAAGCAGACTGTGAAAAGCTTACGGCTAGATAAAATTTTGAAGAAACGAACATTAATATACAAATAGATTATGACACATGAAATCTGCAAAACGGCAAAAATTGGTTTTAATGGTTTCATTTTATTTTCTTAGCAATATACGAATATAGTACTTACCCTCACAAAATTGAGTCAATGTCCGTGTAGTCATACCTTGCCTTACCTTAAATTTATTCTATTATTTATTTTTTAAAGTTTAGTTTCGGCCTAAAGGATCGACCTTGACTGGATTTGTCGCCGGCAAATAGTTGATTCGTCAGTATACAAACAGCAGCCTTTGTTTGCAAACGTTTGCTGGTTTGCAAAACACCGATTGCAAATTCATAATGTTTCTGTTCGTATTCATTTACATTTCATAATTTAGTTGATAGTTGTTCGCCACATTACTTAGTGCCAACAAGTGCGTGATTGCAGTGATTACATTAGGACAATGTAATCATTGCTAGCCGTATGAGGGAGATTAGTCGCTCAACGTGCTATAGAGAATGCTTGCTCGGAATTTCTTTGCGTGATAGAATTTTGGGATAAAGATATCGAAAGTAGAGCGATAGTAAATTATTTTTCACATCTACAATGGTTTTATTTGAAGAATTACAATTTATCTTCGGCATTTGACAAATAAACCGTTAACAAAGACTCGAAGCCGTTTTTAAAACGAATCGTTCAATCTGTCAATAATTATCCATTGTGCTTTGTTTCGACTGTGTAGTTGGTCTCGTGGTAGTAAAAGCAATTACTTATCAAGAGAGTTTGAATCCCCGGTCGGCCGTAAATCAGTTATTGGTTCTTGTGTCAAGAAATTCTTCCTTTGCCTGTTTTTTTCTCCGTTCGTGTCAGATTACCGACCCAACAGAATATGAGAGAAAGGGTATAGAGAGTGCAACTGTGCTTGCGCACTATACTCTCGATCACTATAATCCTGTTCAGCGCAGATATCTAGTCTTCGTAGAGACTGGCTCATAAGAGGAATATTTGCCACAGTTGCCACATGGGATCGCAACCGCAGTTTTTATTTTTTAGTTGTTATCAGAAAGGTGATGCTACTCATCTCCGGGTTTGTTCCCCTTTTTCACCTTTCACGACACATGCGGGACGAACAAAATGAAATTATTAAGTTATATGGGACTCCTGAAATATCATTTTTTGCAGAAGAAATTGAAGAGGAAAGAAATCATCAATAGCAATAAAATTCATATAAGAAAAACGATTATTACAAATGCCAAACTCTTATAATGGCAAATACGAGTTTAATAATATACTGCCATCTTTTATTTCGTAACTTGGCAGTACGTGTGAATTGGGGCTTCTGCGTCACTTGCTCTCGCATCGCTCGAGCTACATGCCGCTGAAGACCCCAATTCTCTCCAGTAGAGGTACAAAATTTTTAGTTTATGGCTGAAAGTTCCTTTATAAATTAATGGCAATCATAACCAGAAAGGTTGTGAAATATTATAGGTATGAATGAGCATGTCTTAGCTTTTAAATTACATTCGTTATGAGCAGGTCCTCTGTATTTTCCAGTAAAATGATCATGATTTGCAACTATGATATCTGTATTATTAATTTTTTTTACACAAATGACATTCCTTTACATTATTCAAGTAGTCTCGCTCCGTTTCACCGATTACCAGACGTGTATTATTTGAAAGTAATTTATGTAACCGTTTAACATCTTTACTAATTGATTCAATAATTTTTTTAGCACACTCTTACCCTCGATAAGAAACTAATTTATTGAGTTCGGGCTTAGAATCACAAAATATATAATTTGCAAAACAACTGGCCTTATGGATTTGAATATTTTCCACATACGCAGTTTTATTTTTGTCTGAATACTCATGTAATAAACTCTCAAAGTCGCGGTATATTACAATAGGAATTCTTTGAGTCTTTTCATAGTTTGAAAAATAAAGTTTAGTATTTTCTTCCGGTAAAACGGTTTGGATCCTCGCACAATCATGATTTAAAAGTTTTTCTGCAGTGTTAAAATATAAAAAGAAAACATTCTTCACATAAATGTATTTTAGATTTATGCTTAGTTCATTACTTGTGTACGAGTTTATCAAACCTTTTTATCAAACAAAAATGATATTTATTATTTTTATTTAAATTAACATGCATTATCTTTCTTTTTAAAGTTTTATACAGCGACCCGGTCACATTATTTTTTTCATCTAAACCGTAAATATTAACGCTCACATAAGCATTCATTTCCTCGAATAATTTAATGTCATTAAAACTTGGAGGAAATAATAAATTA